GAAAGAAACAAAGGTAGGGGCGGACCGTCGCCCAGAACCCGCAGGGTCCCCGAGACGCCAGCTCCACAAACTCCTTCACCGGTGGCGAACCGAGGCCAGCCCCTGCTCTAGTCCGACCACCCTCCGGGTCAAAGCTCCTTAGCCAGCCGGGCGCACGGCTCCTTTTTCTTCTTTTTTTGTTTTTAAAGGATAGTGTGTAATCTGATGGATGCCTGGGTGACATCAAAAGCCTGCCAAGTTACCGTCGAGGGAAAACACGTTAGCGACAAAAGACGGGGGCAGCAGCTCGTCACGGGGAGCTGTCGGCGCAGAACAGGGCAGGGCATAACCCCTCCTTCACCCCCCCCCCAAAAAGAAATGTTCGCCTCCCCTATTTGGCAGGTACAGGGCAGAGGATGGGCTTTAGCTGCATAAAGTTTTCCAAAACTGGAAGTTGCGGTTTAGAGGAGTAAGAGCGAGCCAGTCGGGCGACAGACTCAAGGGGAGGGGCCTGTGAGAATGTCCCTGCGTGCGCCGCCGGCCCGCTGCTAGCCCGGGGTGACTCCAGTTGTTGGCTCCTGAGTTACTGACTGATCCTGGTGAAAGGAGGGAAAGCTAGCGGCTAGTCTCACATGCCTTGTTAGCCAGCACCTGGGTGGTTTTTAGATTTGGGCAGTATTCTGCTTTTGGTTTTTTGAGAGGCTGTGGGTGTTTTTACCACTTGTTTAGAGATCAGACTTGGGGGTCCAAAAGAACTGGGTTCGAATCCCCGCTGGAGTCTTGAGCAAGCTGAATAATCGAAGTCATCAATTCCTGATGATGACTACCTCTAGTGCTTATTGAGCAATGTATGTTAACTCAGTCATACAAGAATCCTATGGATTAGGTGCTGCCAACACTCCCTGTTTAACAGATGGGGAAATGAAGGCACAGAGAAGTCAAGGAACTTGTCACATAGTGAGCCCACAAAGCAGGGATTTAAACCCAGGCAGTGTGGCCCCAAAGCCCATATTTTTATTTTAAATTTGGGGATGATAATAATGGTACTATTCTCATAGGAGTGTTACAGGTGTCCATGGTCTAATGCACTGAAAATCACTTAACCCTATACCTGGCATTTAGAGTCTCCACAATAAATGTTAGCTTTTATGAGTGCCTGGTGGTAGTAAGCCCTCAAGCATATTGTTGAATGAATAAAAATGTTATTTTTGCCCTAACCCATTGCTTTAAAAATGACTGATTAAATGACTATAGGACTTATGAATAACCAAACTGAACAAAAAATGAAATTGAGAACCTTAGAAGTAGAGGCAGGTTGGAAATCAGTAATGGTGCCCCTGTCAGAGTCTCCTATGTTCTCAAGTCGTTCTCCCAACTGCAGAAAACTGGGGCTCTGAGCAGCCAGGGTGCCTGAGGTCAGTAGGCTTGCCAGGGGAGAGCTGGGACTTGAACTTTGGTTTTCTGATCCCTGGACCAGGGCTCATATTGTCTGGACACTCTCAGAAGAAGTTATTCTATAAGAGGTTGGGGAAATTTTAGTGCGTTACAGGAGAGCACCAGTGTTTTATTATTTATAGAGTACTCTGAAGTAACCTCATGTAAAGAAATTGCCCAGTGCTTTAGTAGTTGTATGACAGTTAAAAATCTGTATGCGAGTGTGTAAGTTACCCATTCTCCTAAGGTCAGATGTGGACAATTTAAACTCCCTTCCACCACGCCCTCCAACATATTCTAAAGAATACAGATTAAAAGTATTTTTTTAAACCCATGATCCTATCAAATATAGGGAAAAGGCATAGAAGGCAAATTTACATGTTACATTTAGCAACAAGCTTGTTATATCAAAATGTCAATAGTGGGAGCTGCATATCATTACTGATAAATCTGTGGTGAAATAAATACTTTCAACAAATCCTGTTTTATGAGCCATACCAAAACATATTTGGTGGAGCTGAGCTTGTTTGGATCAGTGCTTTCAAATTAACAGGATTCTTAAAAAAGACCAGATGCTTCTGCTTGACCCCTTAACTGATTTCTTGTACCCCTGATTTCTTGACCCTTAACCGATTCAAACTCCCTTCTTCAGGTTTCTCCAAAGATATGAATAACTTGGTTGAAAGTTTAACCTAGTGCATCTGTGGCTAAACCCTGCATCCCAATAGAAATGCGGAATTCCATGTTTCTGAAGATTCCAGGGTGGTTTTATTTCTAAACAGCATCTTAGAGAAGGTCTTGTTTCTCTCTCCCTACCCCTCCTTGAATACAAGAATGACTATTTTAATTTCTTGGATATTAATTACTGGAGTTGATAAGGCAAAGGAAATCGAATGAACTATTTCACAATTATGTCCACATTATATATATAGACCTTTTTTTGGTGTGTGGTCATTATTACTATAGCCACTTGGAGCATTTTAAAATATGCCAGTATCAGGAACTCAGCCAGGGTTGGATTTTTATTGGTGATGTTTTTATACCAAAAATGCAACGTAAATCAACATTTTAAAACACACTTTCCAAAAGGACACTGATGCAGACCCAGAATTTTTGTTTGATTAATGATGAAATATCTTGGTCTTTAGTTAGTCATAATTTTTGCCAATTTAATTATCAGATAATTTCTGTAATGAAAATAAATATTTAATCTGCCGATGGGGAGTCATACTGAGCAACCTGAAATATTTGAAAGAATAATACTACAATTCAGTCCACTTAGCCTATGTAGAAACAACTCGTTAATATCACAATCGATTTCATTTTTCCATTCACTCCTTACTCAGAGGTCTGAGGGACACCATTTGGGTGAGGGCAGGAGAATTAGATTTCACCATGCGCTATATACCTTTGAGCCCCGAAGGTTTCATCCCCCACGAGGTGTGGAAGGGGGCCTGGTTTTGTCCTACAAGGAAGACTTACCTTTCCTGGCTCCCAGACTGCAGCAGAGAAAGGTTGGAAGACAAGCTCCCTATTGAAGCCTAAAGTTCTTCCACTTGAGGCAAATCCTCTACTTTCTGTTGGTTACTTGGCTAAAGGGAAAATTCATCACTTGTTGAATGTTGCAAATAAATACATTAAATTTGAAATGTTTACACACAGCAGTAAGTGATCTCCATTAGGCAGAACACACAGACACCTTTTCGTCAAGCGGGTGTGTAGCAGGCACATAAAAAGGGTGTTTATTTATGCCATAGTCTTCTACAGTAGAATATTCTTGCTCAGGATTAGGTAAAATGTTCATTTACCTGTAGTAATTGCCGCTTTGGGGTAACCAGATGGTGAGCATACCCATGTTCAAAGTTGGGTACCTTAATTTAGATCCAGATGGTCAGGTTGAAAGAGGAGATTTACCCAAAGTAAATGAACATTTTATTCGCTTTCAAAAGGGAGACTGTTTTTCTTTGACAAACTTTGATTGGGTCTATAACATGCCACAGTGCCAGAAGACAGAATAAAAATAGGTCTTTTTTTTATTTTTATCAAGGATTATTTAGAGAAAAACTGATCTCCAAGTAAAATGGGAAAATAACATTGCAGTTCTCAAAAAGAATCACAAAAAATGCTTTTGCAAAAATCTTGTGGAGAACACAGAAGATTTTATGGGTAGACATTTGATCTTTATGGTATTAGTGTACTTGGTTGGATGTCCTGTTCTTTTTCTGGAATGAATTCATAAACATGATATTTAATAAAAGCAAGAAAATTACCACATTGCTTTTATGTTGAAAGAAACTTCATTTCTCCCAGCCACTGGTGAGGAGATAGCTTTACATGAACAAGTTGGTGTATGTAGCTTTTTGCCCCCTACAGAAGGCTCTGAATTGAAAAATCTGGGAGAATCATTTGTTTCTGTGAACACTTTTTAATATGATTCCTTAATGGACTTAGCTCATTGTTTTCCTGTCAGGCGCACATAACCATATGGCCAAACTGAGTCTAATCCTGCTGGATTTTGGTCACAATTCAGAATGCCACCACTAAACTAAATCTAGAAAATAATAATAATAATAATAATAATAATAATAATAATAAAGCTTTGACCATTTAATGACTCAGGGAGGAAAATCCATATAATTAGTGTTTGCCTTGCCATGTTTTTTCCATGGTGCCATCTGATTTGATCACCCTGGAGAGTAATAAAACATATAGTTTCTCTAAAAGAGTTAAATTTGTTTGCCCATATTTTTGTTTATCCAAAGCAACTCCAAACAGGGCCTATTTGCTCTGGATCTCTTTCAAGCCAAGATGGACCTGTGACGGGTTTCCCTGAATTTGCTTGGTTTGCACAACATGTTTATTTCCTTAAACCAAATTTTGCTACTGTGTCTGTGGATGGGCTTGACAAAACAGTACCAGGCAACAGCTTAGGTTTGCTGGAAGATGGTGACATTTGGTTGACAAGATTACAAGAATAAGATTTGCTTATTTAAGCATGACTTTAGAGAACGTTATAAAGAGAGTAAGAAATAATTTACCTTTGATGCATAAATGCCTTATAGTCTATAAGGAAGGACACCCTCTGTCACCCCATGGTCATCCTCCCAGCCCCAGCAATAATCAGCACCATCGTTACCAGCATTGTCTTTTCAGTTTTCTGCTTGTCCTTTACATCCTTTTAGATTTGCAATAGTGCCTGGGTTCCTCCAGAATTTTTCAAAGTCCCTTGCAATCCTGCTTTTTGCCACTAGAGAGTGGATGCTTTCTCCAACAGACAGAATTTTTTACTACATAGAATTTGGGAGAATATAAAAATGAAAAAAAATACTCCCTGCTTTTCTCAGTTTCCGGGGCAATGTGAAATGATTCACAAACAGGCACAGCTAGATGATGGAGGCCGGGCTGTGAGGGTGGAATAAGACGGCAAGATTGGGGGGGCTGACGTGGGGTGAAGGGCCCCAGGCTCACCTCCTGCGCACCTGATTGCAGGAGTGCCTTCTCAGCCTCTGACTACCTGAGCGGCCCCGGGTTTAAGGAGCTCTGGTACTAGTTGCACAGAGACAGGGGTTAATTCATTGTTCCCGGTGCAGACCTTTGTTGACTTGCATGCTGAAGTTTTAGTTTAATTATTGAGATCTTCTCTCAAAAAAAAAAAAAAAAAAAAAAAAAGAGAAAAAAAAAAAAAAAAAAAAAAAAAAAA